CCGGGCCAGGTCTCGCACGGCTCCCGCACGTCCACCTGTATAGGGGGCAGCACGTTCTGTACCTGCGTTGCCCTCGCGTATGCCGAGATGCTGTGCCGGGAGGGGGTGGTGGTGGTGGGGGGTGGGTACAGGGGGGTAGAGGCACAGGTGAGGAGGTGGTCACATGCATCAACATGGGAACTCATTAACTGAGGGTCCAATGTGTAGCCTATGGGTTAGGACAGGGGTGGGGAACCTTTTTTCTGACAAGGGCCATTTGGATATTTCTAACATCATTCGCGAGACATACAAAATTATCAACTTAAAAATTAGCCCGTTATATTTGGTCAAACATTTAATTAAATCACCCCTAATGTGATGGCTGGAACTGCTTCTCTTTGGCAAGGCGTGTGATGTTAGCTGGTATTGATGATGTTGCTACTCGCAACTGCTTTTCCATGTTTGCTCCTAGATTTATTGAATTTCGAGTCCCGCCTGCGGTTGCCTTGGCAGGGCCACACCAAATGATTTCACGGGCCGTGATCTTGACCAATATTAGGGTTATGGTGGGTCATGATCATGGTTAGGGGATGAGGTTCAGATTTTTCGCTCGGGTTAGGGGTTATGGCCACCTGAAGACGATTGCTTGTGTGGCGATCGAAACGTTGTGATCTATTATTTTTTCTACCCACGTGACTTTACCGATAGAACCAAAGCGTATGAATTCCTGCAGTAACGAAAGCTTAAAATAAAGATTAATTACGAGGGTCAAGGTTATTGTTGATGTGAGCGTTATGGATATGGTTAGGGTTGTAGATAGGGGTAAGGAAAGGGGTGGGTGGGGCTATTTGACCATACTTTACCACGCTGATCAGTGCAGGTTGTTGATGAAAAACACAAATGTAAATTCGCGAGTTTAGTTTTTGTACCACTGAGCGATGCAGCTCCTTTTCAGAAACGGCCCCAGCCACACACGAATGCTCAGCGAAGTGGCTTATCTATCGTGTGGACATTTATAGCAGCCGAATTACTCGAAAGCAGGAGGAGTTCGCAACCTGTGGCTCTTTAAGGACTGCTTAGTGACGTTCATTTATTAAGGATAGTCTCCGTATTTCCGTGCATTGGGGCTGTTGAAATATTTCGGGGTTTTTATGGTTAACCAAATTATAAAACACGGCTCCAAACGCGTGACGTTGATTCTAAATTCGGAGGGGGAAAGTCATAAAAAAATCCACGCGACCAAGAGGAGAGAGACGTCCAACAGGGAGCAAGGTCGGGATCGAGCCCACGACCTCCTGTATACCTGGCGAGGTAGTTAACATCTCATAGCCACCGTGATAATGATGATAATGAAACGCAAACTCCAAATACACAGCAGCAGGGTCGGGATCGCACCCACGACCTCCTGTATACCAGGTGGGGTAGTTAACATCTCAAAGCCACCGTGATGATGATGAGACGCAAACTCTAAATACACAGCAGCAGGCGTCGGGATCGAGCCCACGACCTCCTGTATACCTCGCGAGGTAGTTAACATCTCATAGCCACCGTGATGATACCAGGCGAGGTAGTGAACATCTCATAGCCACCGTGATGATACCAGGCGAGGTAGTGAACATCTCATAGCCACCGTGATGATACCAGGCGAGGTAGTTAACATCTCATAGCCACCGTGATGATACCAGGCGAGGTAGTTAACATCTCATAGCCACCGTGATGATACCAGGCGAGGTAGTTAACATCTCATAGCCACCGTGATGATACCAGGCGAGGTAGTTAACATCTCATAGCCACCGTGATGATACCAGGCGAGGTAGTTAACATCTCATAGCCACCGTGATGATACCAGGCGAGGTAGTTAACATCTCATAGCCACCGTGATGATACCAGGCGAGGTAGTTAACATCTCATAGCCACCGTGACAGCCCACGATGTCGATGAGATGTGGCCACCCGTTGTGCCCATCGACGTGCCTCAGACCTTTGGAAGGAGGCCGCCTCCAGCTCGCTGGGCTGCCACGTGAGGTGCGGGAAGGCCCGGGCGAGGTGCACCACATGCTGCCCGGAGCCCGAGGCCACCTCCAGCGCAAACCCGGCCCGGTCTGCCGGCACCCACTGCCGCAGCACCTCGAGTATCGGCTCCTTGTTGCGCTCGGCAGCCGGCGCCACCAACATTGCGAGGCCGCTTTGCTCCCACGCCCTGGGGATAGAGACAGATTCAAGGAGTTGAAGAACAGGTTTTAGCAAGGCGGTGAGAGAGGCTAAACGACTGTACTCAGAGAGACTAAAACACCAGTTCTCTGCTAACGACTCTGCTTCTGTCTGGAGAGGACTCAGGCAGATCACCAACTACAAGCCCAGAGCCCCCCACACCACTAACGACTCCCGCCTAGCCAACGACCTGAACGAGTTCTACTGCAGATTTGAAAGACAATTGGACTGTCCTGAACTACCCCTTCCCACCCAAGAGGCCCCTATCCCACCCCACACTACAGAGACAACTATCTCCATTCAGGAGGGAGAAGTTAAAAAACTTTTCAAGAGGCAGAACCCACACAAAGCAGCTGGGCCGGACTCTGTCTCTCCAGCCACCCTCAGGCACTGCGCGGACCAGCTGTCTCCAGTGTTCACCAACATCTTTACCACCTCCATGGAGACATGTCATGTACCAGCCTGTCTCAAGTACTCCATCATCATTCCAGTGCCCAAAAAGCCAAGGCCAACAGGATTAAATGATTACAGACCCATCGCCCTTACCTCCGTGGTAATGAAGTCTTTTGAGCGCCTGGTCCTGGCACACCTCAAAGCCATCACAGACCCTCTACTGGACCCCCTTCAGTTTGCCTACAGAGCCAACAGGTCTGTGGATGACGCAGTTAACATGGCCCTCCACTTCACCCTACAGCATCTGGATTCCACAGCATCCTACGCCAGGATCCTGTTTGTGGACTTTAGCTCGGCTTTTAACACCATCATTCCTAGCCTGCTTCAGGACAAGCTCTCCCTGCTGAACGTGCCAGACTCCACCTGCAGATGGATCACAGACTTCCTGTCTGACAGGAAGCAGTGTGTCAAACTGGGATCACAAGTTTCTGCCGCCAGGTCAATCAGCACCGGATCTCCTCAGGGCTGCGTCCTTTCCCCTCTGCTCTTCACCCTGTACACCAACAGCTGCACCTCCAGTCACCCGTCTGTCAAACTCTTGAAGTTTGCGGATGACACCACCCTCATTGGGCTAATCTCTGATGGGGATGAGTCTGACTATAGGAGGGAAGCTGACAACCTGGTGACCTGGTGTAGCCAGAACAACCTGGAGCTTAATGCTCTTAAGACCGTGGAGATGGTTGTGGACTTCAGGAAGAATACAGCCCCACTCACCCCCATCACCCTGTGCGACTCCCCAGTCACCAATGTTGAGTCCTTCCGCTTCCTGGGCACTATTCTTTCCCAGGACCTCAAGTGGGAACTGAACATCAGCTCCCTTATCAAGAGAGCTCAACAGAGAATGTACTTCCTACGGCAGCTGAAGCAATTTAATCTGCCAAAGACAATGATGGTGTGCTTCTATACAGCTATCATTCAGTCCATCCTCACCTCCTCCATCACCGTCTGGTACGCTGCTGCCACTGCCAAGGACAAGAGCAGACTGCAGCGTATCATCCGCACTGCTGAGAAGGTGATTGGCTGTAATCTACCAACCCTTGAGGACCTGCACACTTTGAGGACCCTGAAGCGAGCGAGGAAGATTGCGGACGATTCCTCGCACCCTGGACAATCTCTGTTCCAGCTACTCCCCTCCGGCAGAAGGCTGCGGTCCATCAAGACCAAAACCTCACGTCATAAAAACAGTTTTTTCCCATCCGCTGTTGGCCTCCTCAACAAGGCCAAGGGCTTAAAATGACTTTTACACTTAAAATGACTGTTACACTTACTATAACATTTTATCTACATAATTACACCTTTCCATACTTACGTGTAATCTTATTTGTATTTTTGTATTTTAAGATTGTTTAATGCGGCTAATTAACATTTTACATTCGCATTTTATAAGGTCTACTTATTCATAATTTTAAAGATTTTAGCCCTTTGGTATTACTTATACTTTGTAACGTTAGTATAGTTAGAGTGTATAACTTTTATATAAGTTAAGATTCCTACTTGTTCAATGTATGCACCGTCCCGCCATAGTGAATTCCTTGTTTGTGCAAACTTACATGGCGATTAAAACCGTTTCTGATTTCTGATTTCTGCCGGGAACCCGCTTCACGGCGGCAGTGGGAACGGCCGCGGCGGTGACTCGAGCGGCCGTGGAAGCGACGGCGACGGTGGCGCCGAAAATCAACAGCCGATGGCTGCTGCTGCTGTTGTTGTTGCTGCTCAATGCGAAATCGCGTTTCTCCTCGCCGCTCGCCGTAGCCGGCGCGTCACGTGGCAGTGCCCCCACCCCCCACCCCCCCCCAACCCCCCCCCCCCCCCCATGCGTCGTGACGTCGTGGCGCGCGAACGTGACGTCATTGCGCGCGCGGCCGTAACGACTTCGCTGCGGGCGCTGCCATGACGTAACAAAATCGCTCGCGCGCGCTGCCATGACGTAACCACTTCGCTCGCGCGCGCTGCCATGACGTAACGACTTCGCTCGCGCGCGCTGCCATGACGTAACGACTTCGCTCGCGCGCGCTGCCATGACGTAACTACTTCGCTCGCGCGCGCTGCCATGACGTAACGACGCGCGCGCTGCCATGACGTAACGACAACGCTGCGGGCGCTGCCATGACGTAACGACAACGCTGCGGGCGCTGCCATGACGTAACCACTTCGCTCGCGCGCGCTGCCATGAGGTTGCGACTTCGCGCGCGAGACATGATGTCACTGGCCGCTCGCGCTGCCATGACGTCACGACTTCGCGCGCGCGACATGACATCACGTCCCGCCTCGCCCAACAGAGGGCGGCGCGCTTCGCTGTCCTCCCGCCCCTCCCTGAGCAACGTGGCCGCCGGTCGAGTCGCGCGGCGCGGTGCCGTGCGGTCACTCCGCCCAGCGAGCCAGGCCCCCCCCCCCTCCTCCCCGGCTGCCACCCTCCCAACACCGCCACCACCACCATCATCACCGCCACCTCCGTCGCCTCATCGCTAACGCTCATCACCGCCAACACCAACACCGCCAACACCAACATCACCCCCCCCACCACCCCCATCACCGCATCGTCGCCATGGCCAGCACGAACAAGCCGGCCGCGGCGGCGCACGGGCCGTGCGTGCTGTGCTGCCAGGAGGTGGACGTGTTCGCGTTGGGCAAGTGTGACCACCCCGTGTGCTTCCTGTGCTCCACCAAGATGCGGGTGCTCAGCGAGCAACCCTACTGCGCCGTGTGCCGCCTCGAGCTCGCAGAGGTGACGACCCTTACACTCGCCTTGTCCCCCCCCACCACCACCACGGCCTTCACCCACCCACCCAAGTCGGGCCCATGCGCCCGTCCCAGTCGGGCCCATGCGCGTTCTCTAGCCGAGGCCGTGGTTCATGTCTGGCCTTGTCGATTCGGCGTAACCACTGCCTTGGTCGCTTGTCCACTCCCCATTTGCTGCCTTGCCCACACACACACACGGTGCCCCCCACACACTGCCCGATCTTACCCATTGCCTTCGTTTGACCACCCACAACCTCCCCCGCTGGGAGCTCGCACCCTCCCGACCACGTTCCCTTCCAGAGGCGCTGGTTCCTGTCTGGCCTTGCCCGGGGCCCAGCCTCGGTTTGTTGACCGATCGCGCCTCTCTCTCCCATACACCCCACGGCCCTCTCCCTGCGGCACCCCGTATGCCTCCCCTAGGCCGGACAGCCCTGGCCGATCTCGGCTGGGCCACCTTCAAAATCTGCGGCGTCTTCCACCTGGCCCAGGCGGCTGGCTGGCTGGGTGGGCAGCAACCCAGTCAGATCCAGAGTCTTTTTGCTCGGCCCCCCCCCCCTCGAACCCAACCAGGTCCACAGTGCACATCGGGTGCCAATCGTTCAGGTGAAGGTGGTTGCCGATGATAGTTCGCGTCTCTTGGCCTGTAATCGGACTAATTGCGTAACCCCGCGTGGCGACGTTGAACGATTACAGCGGCCTAACTTGAATGGTGGGGAGGCTCACTTTGATGAGACACGGGTAATTGAGCCATCATTTATCACAGGGGTGGTGGGGAACGTCTGGCCCTGCGGGGCCGTATGAGACCCACGAAATCATTTGGTGTGGCCCTGCCAAGACAACCGCAGGCGGGACTCGAAATTCAATACATCTCGGAGCAAACCTGGCAAAGCAGTTGCTAGTAGCTGCAACATCATCAATACCAGCTAACACCACACGCCTCGCCAAAGAGAAGCAGTTCCAGCCATCGCATTAGGGGTGGGTTAATTAAATGTTTGACCAAATATGACAGGCTAATTTTTAAGTTGATAATTTTGTATGGCCCGCGAATGATGTTGTAAATATCCAAATGGCCCTTGGCAGATAAAAGGTTCCCCCACCCCTTTATCACTAAGGCGTTCATGGCCTTGAACCATCATAAAGTTAGTGTACACTCTAGATTCGAAGTTTAGTGTACACTGTACAGGTATTAGTTGACTCACCCATCGGCCATAACACTTGCCCCTCCCCCAAGCGGTCACCAATCTCTCACGGTTACCTGTGATGTGAGGTGAGCGAGCAAGCCGCCCTGTACGCGGGCAGATTTCGTTGCTACATCTCAGTGGTGAGCGACTTTCTGATTTCAAGTTCATTTATTAGGTATAGCCCTGTGAGCCATTCGGCTCTTGAATCGGGTGCAACCGCAACAAACAAAAAACAAAAACATGAACAAGAATACATCTTAAAGTGACTATGTGCAAACAGAAAATCCAAGAAAAGACTGATGCGTTCACCGTGCACTCTGCCGAATCTGTCGTTCGTCTCCCACATCGGTCAACATTCTAACCAAGGCGCGGCCACCCACTGACGTATCTTAACGTTTACATTTGCCTTGATTAAATATGTCCTCACTTCCAACACGTGTTCTTCTTGTCCGTTTCATCACGAGCACCTCCCGAGAGATTAGGTTTCGTCTTCGTCGACGTCAATATTTCTGATACGTATAATGTCACACTGTGGTGGTCAATGTTGATTTAGTCGGCATGAAAAAATGTAGACCGACAAGTAGTCGTTTAGACAAACTCTAAGCAACATATGCCAATGCACAGATGCCTTGCAACCATTGGTGGAAGTTCCACATTCCCACGGCGGGCTGCAGTATATCCATCAAAGGACATCAACAGCCACGATTATTCCACAGCTGGAAGAAGGGCTTCCCAAGCCATTAACTCTTCACACAAATTGTGATTTACGCAGACGGACTACGAACGTCAGTTTGTTATTGGCCAGGAGCGGAGATTATTTATAGTGGAGATTACGTTGAGGGCAGTACAGTACTTGAGAGTCGGTGGTCCATGCGTCTTCCATTGCCTCGTTGGTGATGGCCTAAAGCCACCGAAGGCAATTCTCAATCGGTCAAATGGGTGTCTTAAGCTCACTCCTGCCCTGCCCTGCCCGTGGGACCTGCCAATGCCGTGCACGCCGTCCGGCAGGTGGTGTTCACGCACACGTTCGCCCCCTTCGCGTCCTTCGACACGAGCCGCATGACTATCGACCGGGAGCACGGCATCTGCTTCGACTGCGAGGGCACGCGCGACAAGTACAGGTCGGTGCCAAAAACTGCAGCTTGTGTACAATATTCTCCGGCACGTGTCGTGACGGAGGGGGGAGAGGGGGGGGGTACCGCAAGATCTGACCGTGTCTGTCTGGTGCTCGCCAAGCTGCATTGGCGTCAGGTTGCCGAACGAATACATTTAAGGTCGCACTCATTACACACACAAAGTTATTTCCACAAATGAACCACAATAACTTGCTGATCTCGTCAAGGAGCATAAACCCTCACGCGAACTCCGGTCATCTTCGCAGTGGCTTTTGGCTGGCCATCGAACAAAGACGATCACCGCATCGCGCGCTTTCCAGATGTGCTTCTGCATTTGTCTAGAATGCTCTTCCGATATTAGGAAGCCACTGCAGATATGCACTTTTAAATCTAGGTTGAAAACTCATTTCTTTATAACTGCTTTTTTGTGTTTAGTTTGCTGTTCTTCCCCCACACCTCCGATTCGCACGGTTGCCTACATACTGTGTGAAAGAAGTTCAACGTACACCGTTGGCGGGTTGCGGCTCTTACCTCTCCCTAGTCGGTCCCCAGCCCCCCGCCCGGCTCCCGCAGACCTTGTCCATCTTGGAACTCATCAGCGCCGCACCTCGTAGGGGCGTTCGCACCGCCGACCTCGCTGATGCTTGCCACGAGTGACGCCGTTGGTGGGCTTTTTGTTGTTATTTTGTTTAGTAGTGTTTTTAAGTCACAGTTGCCGAGCAGCGCGAGAGAAGAAGCGGAAAAGAGAAGCGTTGTGACCTGCCGCAAGTGTGGTGCTGGTAGAACGCAGTATGGTTGAGACTAAACAGTCAAGTCAACATGGGTGGAGGAGTTGATGGTGAAGTTCATGGGAACAGTAACCGGGCAATTTTTAATCACTTTCGGGGCTCGCGTGTTACCACGGATAACGCAGTTACACCACTGGCAGCAAGACTGCACAATGGAGATTTGGGGGGGGGGGGGGGAGTAAAAAGACAAAACAGATATTTTGTCCTGACCCGTCACATCACCGCCCGGTTTCCGTCACGTGCAGGAAGCTGCTGCTGCACGCTTGCCCGCGCTGCCCCGCGCTGCCGCCATTCTCCACACTGCAGGAGCTGCAGAAGCACATGAAGCAGCAGCACGAGCGCTTCCCGTGCGACCTCTGCCTGCGCCACCTCAAGGTGAGTGGAGACGTACATTGCGGTGCGACGTGGATTGCTCCCAAGGAGAGAGAGAGCGAGAGATGGAGGGCGTTCTCTTCACGATTGGTGTTCACTTCAGGTGATTCATCTGTCAGTTCACGCAAGCTTTCCTATACTCTGTACTCCATCAGGTTTTGTTTGTTGTTGCAACTTTCTGACTCGCCCCGACTGGACATCTGTGAAAAAGAGCTTCATAGCTCATCAGATACTTCCACTCTAAATAAAGATTCCGATTCTATGTGTATCTGCTTGTGCATGTATGTCTTTCTCTTTATTGCGTCTGCATGCTAATTACCATAAAGCTGTGAGCTAATCGTTGTTACCTTACAACTTCCGTCCCAACAGTCTGTTCATGGCTACAAGGAGGGGGGCGGGGGGGGAATCTTCCGTTTGTGTGTGTACATATGTATCACACATTACAATTCAATTTCAAACAGGAGATCTTGTTCATGCGTTTGTGCATTTGTGCGCTTGCGTGCGTGCGTGCTGCTCAGATCTTCTCAAGGGAGCGGCGCTGGTACACACGGAAGGAGTTGGCGCATCACCGGCGCACGGGTGACCCCGACGACCGCTCGCACCGCGGCCACCCGCTCTGCCAGTTCTGCGACCAACGCTACCTTGACAACGACGAGCTGCTCAAGCACCTGCGGCGCGACCACTTCTACTGCCACTTCTGCGACGCCGAGGGCACCAACGAGTACTACAGGTGAGGGGGCCAGGCCCAGTGGCCTCTGGGCCAGCCGTCCCCATCAGCCCTGCCGACTGTACCCATGCCAGCCCCTACCAGCCCTACTAACTGCAACCCAACCCCCCCTACCGCTTGTACCCCCCTACCAGCCTTACCGACTGTGTAACCCTACCAGCCCTACTGCCTGTACCCCCCCCCCCCCCCGCCCTACTGCCTGAGTACCCATACCAACCCCTACCAGCCCTACAAACTGCGTACCCTTACCAACTATACTGTGTACCCATACAAACCCCTACCAGCCCTACCTCCTGTACCCTCCTATTAGCCCTACCAACTGTTTACCCATACCAACCCTTACCAGCCCTACTGCCTGAGTACCCATACCAACCCCTACCAGGCCTACAAATTGTGTATCCCTATCAACCCTACTGTGTATCCATATCAACACCTACCAGCCCAACAAACTGTGTACCCCTACCAGCTATACTGTGTACCCATACCAACTCCATACCAGCCCTACGGACTGGGTAACCCTATTTAACCTATCACCTGTAACCTCCTACCAGCCAAACCGACTGTGTACCCCTACCAGCCCGACCCCTTGTTTCCTCCCATTTTGAATCAACATGCGTTTTCGAGTATTTGGCTGATATAAATTTCCACGTAATAAGCCACTTCCTTGGGCAATCGTTTGTGGCCAGGTCGCTTCTGAAAAACAGAGATATAACTAAGTGGGCCTTACCTGGTAAAATAAAAAAAGTTGAGTTTTCGTTTCGCTTGCATTCACAGTATAAGCACTCGGTGTGTGTATCGTTTTTGGGGCCGCATCTTCTCTTCACTCCATAACCCCTCGACCCTCATCGTCGTCGTCCCCCCCCCCCCCCACTGACCCCCCCGAATTTCAGCGACTACAATTTCCTTCGGGAGCACTTCCGGGCGGAGCACTTCCTGTGCGAGGAAGGCCCCTGCCAGGGCCAGGAGTTCGTCAACGCCTTCCGCACCGACATCGACCTGCGCGCCCACCGCGCCAGCGTGCACAGCCGCAACCGCGCCGAGGCCCGGCAGACACGGCAGCTGGAGCTGCAGTTCACGTGCCCGCTCCGCCGGCACCTCCGCAACGACGGTGGGTGCCGCCGCACGCCCAGAAGCGGGGGTGGGGGGGGGGTTGGCGGTGGGGGGGCAGATCGTGAGGGGGGTGGTAGCGGGGATGTTACATGCGGTGGGGTGTGTTTCGGTCACGTGGTGACCAGGTGTGGTGTCCGGTTTGTGGTGAGCAGGTGTGGTTTGTGGCAACCAGGTCTGGTGCGTGGTGGGTGCTGTGTGGTGTGTAGTGAGCAGGTGTTGGTGTGTGGTGGCCAGGGGTAGTGTGTGGTCTGTGGTGGCCAGATGCGGTGTGTGGCGAGCAGGTGTGGTTTGCGGTGTGTGGTCAGCAGGTGTGGTGACAAATGCAGACTTTGAAGACGTGGAGCGAGATACGAGGAGCAGGGGTCCACCGCGACGACCGAGACCCAGGGAAAACCGGTACACGCTCACCTGCTCACACGCTCACCTGCTCGCACGCTCACCTGCTCGCACGCTCACCTGCTCGCACGCTCACCTGCTCGCACGCTCACCTGCTCGCACGCTCACCTGCTCGCACGCTCATCTGCTCGCACGCTCACCTGCTCGCACGCTCACCTGCTCGCACGCTCACCTGCTCGCACGCTCACACGCTCGCACGCTCACACGCTCGCACGCTCACCTGCTCGCACGCTCACCTGCTCGCACGCTCACCTGCTCGCACGCTCACCTGCTCGCACGCTCACCTGCTCGCACTATCACCGACTCTCGCACTCACCTGCTCAGAGAGTCACCTGCTCACAGACTGACCTGCTCACATGCTCACACGGACACCGGATCTCACACGCACACACCAACTCACACACCTGCTCACACAGAGACAAAGGCTTACACACATACCTGTTCACACCTGCTCACACATAGATACTCACACCTGCAGACACATACTTATAACAACAACCGCCGTTCGCCACTCAGTGGCGGTGACTTCACCGCTCCCCACCTACACACACACACACACCTGTTCAGACACGCGCACACGACAATCACGATATGCCTATGTTTTTCAAAACGTACGATGCGATTATCGTGGGTCTTGTACCGTACGACGTACCGTAGTGTCGTCATACAGCGGCGCCCCTAGGTGACGCACGCGAACTACGACTAACCATGCCGGGTGTCTGCGAGTGCCGTCGCAACCAGGGACGAGGGCCGGGAGTTGGTGATGGCGCTGCGGGAGTCGCTGGGTGCCCAGCTGCAACATCAGCAGCAGCAGTCGGCTGTGGCGGCGGCAGCGGCAGCAGCTGCTGCAGGAAGTGGAGCGGAGCAGACAGCGAAACGATACTCTCCTTCAGGCGACGGGGACAGTCCGGAGCGGGCGCAAATGGAGGCCGAGGGTGAGGTCCTGGAGTGCAACCACACTGCATCGCGCAACGAACAGCACCGCTCTCCCTCTGGTCAGGCCTGGGGATCAATTCTAATGCCTGACGGCATCTTTGGCCGAGATAACACAGTATTTGGTCAAACATTTTACAGTTGAAAATATTCATACCAGGTCTATCTCTGACACTTGGTCAGTGTCATGCTCTGTGTCGCGCTGCCCAACGTGCCGTCCCCGATGCTGTCCACATTTTCCTGCTCATCCCGCCGAGCTGTTCACTGTTTATGAGCCAACAATCTCTTTACCACGAGCCGTCATGCGCTCTAACGAGCCATCCCCACACCCTGTCTCGCCACCAGTGGGCACGAGGGTGGCAGTGACGGGCGACACGGCAGCCAAGCGGGTGGCGCTGGCGGCCGGTCAGACGGTGTCCAACGGGCCGCTCGCCCACGACGAGTTCCCAGCCCTGGGCGCTGTCACCACCTCTGCCAGGTGGGCCCGCACGCTGCTGCCACAGCCACTTAACGGGCCACTGTCTCCTTCCCGGTGACGGGTGCTCAATCCTTTTTTGTTCCGCGTTTCTGATCATTGGGGGGGTTTGTTTGAATTTCAGCTCGGCGTCGGAGAGCGCGCACGCGCGTTCCAACATGGCGGCCAAAATGCACCAGTCTCACATCCGGGTGTTTGATGAGGAGTTCCCGAGCCTGACGGGTTCCACGCCGGCCTTCGTGCCGGGCTTCGCCGGGCAACCCTGCCGAACCTTCGCCCCCACGCAGTCTCAGCCACAGTCGAAGCCCCAGCTTAAGTCCAGGGAGGAAGAGTTCCCTAGCCTCACGAAACGGCAGAAGGGCCCGCCGCTGAGAACACAGGGCCCGCCGCCTCAGGGCCCGCCGGTGAGAACACAGGGCCCGCCGCCACAAGGCCCGCCGGTGAGAACACAGGGCCCGCCGCCTCAGGGCCCGCCGCCACAGGCCCAGCAGCCGAGGCCGCAGCCCAAGCTGGAACTGGAAGACTTCCCGAGCCTGACGAAGTTGGGCTCGGGACGCGCGCCACCACAGCGCATGAAGCTGCAGGCCAAGGCTCGGGGGAACGCGAGGGTGGAGGAGGGAGAGGAGGAAGAGGAGGCGTTCCCGAGCCTGCAGTCGCTCCGCAAGGGATTGCTGCCGACCCCGGACCCACAGAAACGACCACCCAAGCGGGAGGAGAGGACGGCCGGCATCGCCGAGGACCGCGCGAGTGCCAAGGCGCTCAGGACTGGACCGATCGGCTCGGCGCCGGTGCGGGAGACGGCCAGGTCACAGGCGCAAGCGGAGCCACAGAAACCACAGCAGAAGCCGGCGACCTTGAGCCGAGAAGACGAGCCCAGCACCCTGGCATCGCTTGGGAAGGCGCTGGTCTCCAGGGCGCTGGCACCAACGCAAGCGCCGCAACAGCAGGAGCCTCGCAAGACTCCCCAGCCCAGTTCTTCCCATGAGGAGCGTCCCTATCTCTCAGGAGTCCAGATTGGGTCCCGTCCACAAGCGCCGCTGGACGAGGACTTTCCGAGCCTGCCGACGCTGAGCCGGGCAGAGCACCGCATCGGCGGGGGCTTGCCCGGCGGCGGGAGCGGCGGTGGCGGCGCAGCCCGGCAGTCCACGGTGGCCGCACGGGCGTTCAAGGAGGACGATTTCCCAGTGCTCATTGGGAAGGTCCCGACGCGGCCAGGTCTGGTGGGGGGGCGCCAGCAGCAGCGCGGCACAGGCGGCGCCTCCGCATGGGGCAGCTCTGGTGTTACCACGGCCGCCATCGCCGCCCCGGTTCCCCCGGCACCATCGGACCAAACGTTAAAATTGGAGCCGCCATGCTTTCCCACTTCTTCTTCCGGCGCCGCCGCCGCGGCAAATGTGGCCGCAAGCGCAAAGGGGGAGAAGAGCAGCAAAGTAGCCGCTCGCAAGAACCGGAGCGCGGCAATCGCGGTGATGAAGGGCCTGGACCGCGATGACGACGACGAGGAGGATGCCAGCCCTGCTGTGACCTCGCTGGAGTTCCGATCGGCGCCCACGCTTTTCGACCTTTCGTCGCTACTCACCGCACCCAAGATATCGGGCAAGGGCGGCGGGAAGAAGCAACTGGGCGGGGAGCGGGCGGATGAGAAGAGGGCCGCGACCACGACCGCGGCGGCTCCGGTGAGAGCAGCCACCGTCGGCGAAACTAAAGCGGTCGTGCCCGAGGCCCAGTCTGCCGCGGACGAGGCGTCGCGAGCAAAGGCCAAGCGGAACAAGGGCAAGGGGAAGGCCGGGGCGGGTACGGCGGCGGACGAGAAAGGGGCGGCCGGAAGCGAGAGGCGGAAGGTGGGAGCGGACGATGCGAAGGACGCCGGCGGGAGGGCCGCAGAGGAGGCGGGGAGGAGCAGTGGCTCGGAGAGCGATTGCTGGTGGGAGAAGGAGTGGGAAGAGCCAGGTGAGAAGCGCTTCAATAAATTGATGTCTTCTTGGTTCTTTCGGTAAAGTCACGTAGAATGGAAATAATAAAATAATAAAAATAAAACATAAAATGCTTTATTATGTTTTATTTTTATTATTTTATTATTTCCATTCTACGTGACTTTACCGAAAGAACCAAAAAGATGAATCCCTGCAGTCACGAAAGCTTTAAATAGAAATTTAAATTGATGTCGTTCAGTCGCAATTTGCTTCGGTGTTAATTTTCCGTAGTCTTGTTTGTGCAGTCCCCTTTTTATTGTTTCTGGTTTATAGGTTCGTCCGCTCTATTGGCCTATAGAACATTAGCATGTACATTTGCATGGATGTGAATTGATTGGTAAACACGCAGATTGGCGCGTGTATCGCGGGCGACATTGATCAGCGACTCGATGTGTCAACGTGCGCCACACGGGGAGAGGGGCTCCTAGGGGGTTTCCCGTCTTCGGGGAGGCGTTTGTCTCCATCGATACTGCTCTCTGACGATTGTCCTCCTCCGCTTCCTCCCCTCTCGCACACCCCGACCGCTCGCTCCTCCGCTCTCGCCACCGGCGTCTTTTTCCCCCCGGCTCCAGCCTCCGGCGCTGACCAGACGAACGGCACCGAGCGGCGAACCCTGGCTAACGGCGTCCCTCGACCGCCCCCGGGCCTGGCCGCCCCTCCTGGCCCGCCGTCCCTGCTGCTGCCGCCGCCGGTGCAAGCAGTCAGTGGTTTCCTGAGCCTTGAAGATGACTTTCCGGCGCTGACTGCACCTGCTGTGCCCCGCAAGCCACCGCCCGGTGAGCCCCACCTCCACACACCCTCCCCTTTCCCCATTCATCAATTTAGCCAGGTTGCTTTTGGGTAAATCCCTCCTAGGAATACAACTTTATTCTAAAATTGTACTGATGATGCGTGTACGGATATTCGGTGATATTCAACCAGAACAGAGCTGTGCGAAGTCTAATTCCGTGTTTTTGTATTTTAACCGTCTATCGCTTCCTTCTTCCTCCGTGCCAGGTTTCGTTAAGTCTGGCCCTGTCGCCACCGCCGCCGCTGTGGTGAAGCAGCCCCCGCCCGGCCTGGGAGCACCGGCCACAGCTCCCCCAGGCTTTGGGGGGTCCCCAACGAGCATCGCCCCCCCGGGCCTGGCCGCGGTGGTGGCCGTGGCCGTGCCGAAAGGGGCCCCGCCCGGGCTCGTGGCCGTGCCGGCCGCATTCAGCGACTGCAGGTGATTCCGGCACTCCAGGCAATCGTCAGCCACGATCTAACCCCAACGCCGCAGTATGTTCATATGTCTAGCTGCTAGCGCACGGTGCTACGAACCCAGCAACCCGAGTTGGATTCCTGCTCTTGGCCAACACCAGTCCTGGGCCTCCCCTAGGTCGACTCAGTCTCCAAATGAGTACCTGGTGTGGTATGTAAACATCGCCACTGGGGAGACGAAGGCTGTCGGGCGTGATGCTGGCCAACCACCTCTTGGTGTGCCGTGCCGGCCTTTATAGGAATTTGCTAGCAGCACTTGGCCCAAATGTCTGTTGAGGCTATACGGGGGATCTTTGTGTATTTGTCTGTGTGCCACTGGGTAGCGGGGTCGTCGCCGCACTGCAATACAAGTACCTGATGCGATGTGTAACTATGGTCATCCACCCCCCTCTTCTGCTGTGCCGGCCTTCATAGGCGCTCGCTGTCCCCAACAATCTGTTAAGGCAACACAAGGGATCTTCGTCTTTGTACGTTGATGTGTCGTGTGCCTTTTGTGTGTGTGCGTGTTTGCAGAGAGGGGGAGGTAGCTGGAGGTGGCGGCGCCGGCACTGGCTACATAGCCCCGGAAAACTTTGTGCAGCGAAATCGCTCCCTGATCGATCGCGTGCGCGGGATCCTGGGGGAGGACGAAGACAAGTTCACCGACTTCAAGAAGCTCTCGGGCCAGTTCCGCCAGGTAGGGGTACAAACCAGCGGGCCACAAAACCAGACAGACCTGGGGTCAATCACGATCGTAATCTCATATCTCAACCAATACAATGCCCCGCTGCAGCCAAATGGGAACCCCCCCCCCCATCCCCAATGGCAGCTATCACTGTGCGGCACAAGGTATACGCAGCGCAGTTTTGCTACGACGGTGTCATTCACAATGAACTGTAATCGCAGTGTAATTGTAATTGCAGCTAATGGTGCTGGTGCGTTGTAATATTCATTGATCGTGGGTCTGGACAAATCAAATCTATTCTCTGTGAACGTCCCAGAAGTCCCTGTGAACTCGCCCATGACCTCGCCCATGAACTTACCTGCCACCCCCTTCCCCCGCCGACCCCCCTCCCCCCCCCCCACCGTGGCGTCGCCCAGGGCTCGCTGTCAGCGATAGACTACCACGCGCGCTGCGAGGCCCTGCTGGGCCCCGTAGGCCTCGGCGTCGTGCTGCCGGAGCTGCTGGTGCTGCTGCCCGACACGGAGAGGCAGCGGCAGCTCTTGGACGCCCATGGGCAGAGGCGGCGGCGGCAGCAGCAGCAACCAGGTACAGGTAACAACAATAACTTTGCACGTACGGCAAAGTTATTGTTTGTCGTGCGCTTTTACCCAATAAAGTAATTTTGTGGGTAATTTATGTTTAGCGAGAGAGAGAGCAGCAAACTGCTCCCCATCATCATCGTAGTCCGGCCTGTAACGATTCACGCCGCCGTCCCTCCTTCCTGGGTCATGATTTTCATTTGACAATTTCATAATTTTTTCCTCAGTTTTTACAGTCGCATTTACATTGATAAGGCAACATGTTGCCATAAGCAATCGTCCTGTGTCAAAATCGTAAAAATCGCACGCGGTTTGACGCGCGAAGCGATCGATGTATCGTCACTCTCCTGGCCTGGAAGTTTACCGCCCCTCCTCCCCCCCCCCCTCTGTACACAAAGTCAAGGCAAGAAGACCCCACAATGGTTCGCAACACGTTACGATAACAAGCTCGGAGAGTATCCCAAACTAGCTATTAAAGAAACAAGCAGAGAAAGGATCATGATTGAACAAAGTGGAGATCCTGGCCAAAGAAAGGGAACCATTGCAGTAATGTTATTCAGCTCCCATCATCGATAATCAGGTGACACAAGGCACGGCTGACGATGCAGTGCTTGTTCCTGTGGCATAGAGTATCTGTGAACGTCTCGCGAAAGCCTCGCGAGAGACGTGGCGCCGCCGCGTCAACAACGGCGTGCAGAGCGCTCGTTGCCGCCGCAGTCGTTCACGCTTCGCTGCCACCGCCAGGTGCAGTCGGGGCGGCCCGGAAGAAGAAGGGGCAGGGGGCAAAAGTCGCGGACTCCGGGAGTGAGCTTGACTGCCGCTGCTGCCCATCCTGCCAGCAGGTGAGCGACGTCCACGCTCCGCCACGCTCGTTATGAACGCTGTCCTGTGAACGTGTGTACGTGTACGTGTGCGTGTGTACGTGTGCGCACGTGTGTGTGTACGTGTGCGCACGTGTGCGCACGTGTGCGCATTTCACATGGCCTTAGAGTGCATCTAGCGTGGCACAAGCACTGTGTTGAGGCCACATCAGCCTTCAAAGACGCTCGCTGTGTATCCAAGCCGGCTGCTGATGGGCTCCGTGTGCGATTGTCATTTTCATCGTCGTCAGGTCGTCGGCCCTGCGGACTGGTCTTGGCACACGGCAAGGCACGGAGGGGAGGACGAGTTCCCAGCACTGCCATCGGCTGCCCGCTCAACCCTCTAACTGTTTGTCACTCAACCCGGGCCCCTCCAGCCCCACCGGCTGTCCCATGTGACTGCCCGTGCCAACGTTGCTGCGGGTACAGCCCTACAATCGCGAACTGTACTGGAGTTGCTGGTGGAGGTGCTGTCACGGTAACCCCACGTCTCCACCCCCACAGTGTGCAGTTCCATTATATTAATTGGAGAAAGGGACAGGAAAATGTATAATGCTGAACCGGTAATTTGTTGCGAAGGCAGCAGTGCTCTTATTTATGCGCTCAAGGTAAATAAATATATTGGGAGAGCGAGGAAGGCCGAGCGATAACGTTGGGTAGAGGCACGAAGTGGCGACTGCAGAGGGGCCGAGTTGGAGGGGCGGTCGCATGTTTCCACGAATGTTGCCAATTAAGATGCCTCGTTACAAGCCAATAAGCCAACGACACAATGCGACAAAAGTACAAAGCTCAGAGTTTAGCTTGCTGAGAATCGCCACAGAAAGGTATGTTAAAACAAGAACGGCAGATTAAATTTCTGTTATTTATTGTGCCCGACAAGAGGGTGCAACGTGGTGTTACAGGCACTCTTGCGCTTCTACAGAGCTTCAAGTAGCAGTGCAGGACGCCTTTTATCAAGCAGCACTTCCCTGCTCCCCATGGTGCCTCGCAGTGATGAGGCATTTCCGCGAGGGATACACCCTCAAGACGTAGATGTTACACCACCGGGCAGTGTAGTCGCTTACTTGAACAGGCTTTGGGGGGAGGGGTGGGGTGGCTGGTCGGTCTGAACAAGAGTCGGACAGTCAGACTCGCCTTACTGCTCATGCCTTTGTCGCGAATTTTTCCCAAAGTCATTACCCAACTCGCCCATGTGATTTGGTGAGAAAAGAATGGAATTCTTTATTTTACGTTTATTTCTTTTGAGATGCCACATCCTCTGCCAGGTGAGAATTTACATCCTGCCCGGGAGGAGGGGCAAGGGTCAGGGTTCAATGGTTAAGAGGCGATGTCAGGAGTGTGTAAACACAGGGTGTTTAAATTAATGGCTTACTATTTAAGAACAGCGTAAAAAATACGGCCATTGAATAAAACCCAAAAAAAACTTTATTCTTCAATAAATAAAAGACAAATGACAAAATATTGGTTCTGAGTTAAAATTGTTTTAGTTTTTTTCCTGCAAACCTGCAAAATAAAATCCGGTTTGTCCCATCATGGTTTCCAATCGTGAAGTCGGTAGACTGCAGCTTGTGTGCAAGTTCATTGTGAATTAGTCATCCATACAGCTTTCTCTATTTAAAACAATACCCTCACCACACATTGTTATCACCACTGGATTGCAACATAAAAACTATATTAAAAATAATAATTTAAAAAGCTTCTTAACTTGTTCAACGCTTTATTAACGGCGAGTCGGCGGCGCAATGGTCAGCGCGCGCCCCACTCAAAGAACCGGGCGACCCGAGGTTTGACTCTCGCGTAGGACGGACAGCATCGGTGGCGAGCGATATCTAAACCCAGTCCTGGCTGCGCTCCCCTCACTTCACCGACCCGCACTGACAAGCGTGGCGAAGTATGGGGGAGGAGAGAGACCTCGTTCTGGCAGTGTCAAAGGAACTGAAGGCTATTCATGACTGTTGTTATAAAGTAGCACAAAACGTGGGTGAATATATGCTCACAGATGAGTACTACAGGCCCGGATTAATGAAGGTTGTATATTGCAAAGCAGTTTGATTTGTTTAGCATCTAAAGGCACTGCACAGAGAGCATGACAAGCACCTCAGGATCTAGAGGGGAGGTGCTTGTATTTTTAAATGACGATGGGGGTTGTTTATACGCAGGAAACGGTCGGATGCTGTGTTGAAGGAAACCAACGATACATTGGGAGTAAGGAGATCCAGAGAAGATCGGCAGGAGTGGCAAAAGGTTAGTGGAGTCACTCGGGAGAGGTCACCCCGCAGTGTGTTGAGAATGGCTAACGGAGACTATAGTTTGCAGTGAAGTCTCGAGCACGTGATGGACGCCCCACACACACCTGTGACGGTAAGGTGCATTCGGCCTCTCCAGAAGAACATTCGGTTGCTGTACACTCGCAAAACAAGGCGTGCATGGCAGCATTCTCTTGGGAGCGTGCTTCCAAACCACCCCACGATTGGTGGTGCTGGCGCCAACTTGACCTGACCCGAATTAGAGGTCGCACGCCTGGGGTTAGAGGTCGGCTGGCCACTCCTGCAGCCAGCGCTGCAGACCCTCCGTCGCCGCCTCGCTGACCGGCCTGGCGCTCCTCGTACTTGCCATGCGTCGCCGTGCCAACTCCGCCTCCGCCTCCTCCGTGGCTAGCCTCGCCTCCGTGGCGACGGCCTTCCTCACCACCTCGGCAAGCGCCTCGTCGACGCTCCGCAGTGTCTGCTCGGGGCACCAGCTCGGGTCAACGTCTGGCACGAATGGGTCGGGCGCCTCCGCCTGCCGGTACCGGGAGCAGCGGCACAGTTCGAGTCAGCATTTGTTTTTATTTTGGTCTCGGCCTGCGAATTAAATGTAGTCGCTCTCAGTCTAGTTGACTAAAGCGGTGAAACACTTGGTGTGAGAGGTCTGCAATTTATCCCCCCCCTTTATAAAAAAAAACTCAACACAATCGTTGATAACAATACCTTAAAATATATAACGTTTTGGGGAACGGCCCTTCATAGCATTGGCAACGCAGCATCGCCAAATAATTTGAATATCTCGTCATCCAATCGGTGACATCGGTCAATCTTTTTTACATACGACACAGCCAATTCCAATTTTTGGTGTTCCTCGGTATCCTGCAGTCTCTTAATATTTTTTCATTATCTTAGTCTGTGTACAGAATCATTCGTCGCAGTCGGCCGTGTGCTGTGGTGCACGGTGGGTGCGGTCGTCAAAGTCGTCGACGCGCCTGCACCGTGCGTTCTCCGAGCGGCATGCGGAGCAGCGCGGCGTGCAGCATGGTGCGGTACGGCGCCGTGTCGGCGCGCAGGCTGTACGTGTAGTCCCCGACGATCGCGTGGCCCACGGCGTCGCAGTGCACGCGCAGCTGGTGCGTGCGGCCTGCGCATGGCGGCCATGCACAAGGACGCAACAAAGAGAAAGATCCCCAGTAAAGCCTTAACTGTGACTGCTTGGACAAGTGCTGTTAGCGAGCACCTGTGGCGCATGAGGGGGTGGGTGTCCAGCACCACGCCCAGCCCCAACAGGAACGCGGACGCACGCGCGGATTGATGCGAGCATAAATACACACGCCCAAACACGTGCGTACACCCACCAACGCATGCCTATCACCACCGATGATAGCCTGTAGTGCAGAATCTCACTGACGTGGAATGAGTCAAATCTAGGAATTGTCAATATCTGGGGTCTTGATTTTATTCAAACAATCGGTACTTATTGTCTTACTTGTTCTGTATGATCTGTCTCCTTTGTATTGTCCGTCTCATCCGTGCTACGTCTCGTCTGAACAGTGCATTGTCCATCTCGTCTGTACCGTGTACAATTGTCTCATCTGTGTGCTGTCGTCTGCATTGGTTTTTATTGTCTCAGTCAACATGACAAGGACCCGTTCTCAGGTTAGCATATTCTCTGGATAATAAGACACTCTAGAAATTAAGACACACCCCAAACGTGTACCCGGTGTAATTAAAGTTATACAAATCTGCTCACACACGACTGCGAGAATAAAACTGCCCCAACTTTTGCTTTAAAATACAGCAGGGGAAAGTGCGTCGATCCGGAATATTTGGCACATCCCCTGGCGAGTGACCTACTTGCCAACTTTGCCCATCGTGTGCGAGAGAGAAATCACGCGAGCGAGCGGTGGTGGTGGTCTCTTAGCACCATGCAGTCGCACACCTGTTACGGGCTGCAGCAGCACCTTGGTGGCGGGGTCGTCGCCGTAGCGACCGGTCTGTAGCACCGTGAGCTCCGTGAGACATGGCTTGGGGTTGTCGCAGCCTGTGGGAGCATGCGGCAGAAAGGTCGTGGCACAAAGACCCCTTCTACACGTTTCCACAAATGTGGCTATTTGCGGTCAGTGTGGCCACATGGCTTAGATGGAGTGCTCTTGCCCAGTAATGTTTGAATAATCAGTCTGACCCAGGTGGTGAAAATAGGTCCAGAATTGCTTTGTTTAATTGGGCCTGAAAACCTGTTAGGCTGATACACTAAAATAGTGCGATACAAATGTTTGGCTTGTGGGAATAAAATTAAAGTACCTGGGGAAGGTTATGCCCTTTTTTAACCGAACCCCTAATCACCTTGCAGCTCACCAGATTTGGTTATTTCCAAAATCTATATGACCCACCAACCCTGAACTTCAAACGGCTGGATCACATGCCTGTGAATCGCCTGACCTCCAGTCCGATGAAACCGGATAATTTCCGGCACCATGCCCCACTTCTCACCTGGGGTGGCCTCCACGCACATCATGTGTGTCTGTCCCTCCCTGGTGTCCTTCCCAATTGCATAGTCAATGGTCATGTGCTCCTCTTTAACGTGTCCCCTCACCTGCACACGTCAGAAACGGGAGTTCACACCTAAGTTTACGTACATCACGTGACAAAATTAATATTTTACAGGATAATTCTCAACAGCTGAAATAAAGCCAAATTAAGTGCCGAACAACATTTTATGTGACAGTCAATGGTGACCATACTTGAGAAACCAGTTTTTTTTATAATTAAATCATGCGAGTTCATGGGTTCGTATGGCCATGAATTTCTATGCAAGTCTGGTGGGTCTTTATACCAGTATAGACAGACCTCTATGTGAGTTAAATGCCGTGTCGGGTAGGGGTGGCCATTCACAGGTTGAGAATCGCTGCCCTATGTATACGATGTACTGCATTCGAGGAAAGGCTGCGATACCCAACTCTTAATTCAACTCTTTTTCCACTTTAAAGTGAGGGTCGGGGTTGAGGGGTCTGAGCCACGGCTTTTTAGCTGGCCATCGAACAAAGACGGTCACCGCATCGCGCGCTTTCAGATGCGCTTCTGCGACCGACTGTAACGCTCTTCCGACATTAAAAAGCCACTGGAAGCTACGCACTTTGAAAATGTTTTTTTTATCGAATTGTCCATCCCCCGACCTCCGATTAGTACGGTTGGCTACCTATGGTGTGCATAGCTATACGGTTTACCTATATTCTTGCACAGAGAAATTGAGTTCTCACGTCCATATGGCGTGCAGCCGCTTCAATACGGACTTTGTAGGACGAACATTGAGATGTATAAGGGCACGGGGGGGGTGACCAATGAGGTCCGAATTGGTCTGTAATAAGGCACTGATAAGTGGTTGACAGGTATGTAGTCGTGTAGTATATAGTGTAGTTTATAGTAGTGTATAGTGTCGTGTATACATTGAACGTAGAGATTTATAAGGGGCACGGGGGTAACCAATAGGGTCTGCATTGGTCTGTAATAAGGTAGGGCACTGGTAAGGTATGGGATGTAACAGAAACGAGCCACAGGCAAGCCCACTGCCGGCTCACCAGAGCGAGGTACGCCTTGGCGACTCGCCGCTGACTGAAGGCCCGGAAGGCCCCTCCAGCAGCCTGGCGGCTCAGGGCCACGCAGAGGGCTCCACTCGTGGCGTAGTCCAGCTGGTGGCAGAACCTGCCACAGAGGTGGTAAAATAAGTATAACCCGTAAAAACAAAGTTTTTCACTATAAATCCTTTATATGCGTGGCGGCTCGAGTCCTCTCGTCCTCTGGCTTGAGATGGCTGCCACCTATGGGTCATATGATTGCCTGCCACCATTAAGCAATTGGTAATTAAATATAAGAATTTTTTTTCCTAAAAAGTGTTACATTTTGGGAAATTTTTTTCACGAAAATAAATTGTCACGCACAACGAGTCTGTGTGGAAAATGTCAGCTTGATTGGATCATGGGAAGTGGGTTAAAAAACGACCGAAAGATTTGCACGGTCCTAAGCAAGCAAGCGAACTTAATATAAATGATTTAACAAGTATAACCCGTAAAAACAAAGTTTTTCACTATAAATCCTTTATATGCGTGGCGGCTTGAGTCCTCTCGTCCTCTGGCTTGAGATGGCTGCCACCTATGGGCCAGATGATTGCATGGCAGCATTAAGCAATTGGTAATTAAATATAATATTTTTGTCCTAAAAAGTGTAACATTTTTGAAAAAATATTTTCACGAACATTAATTGTCACGCACAACGAGTCTGTGTGCAA